ACTCATGAACCACGAGATCATGACCTGAGCTGAAGTCAGACGCTTAACTGACTGAGCCACCCAGGTACCCTCCCCACCCCGAGGCCAATTTCCAATCCTAGAATAATACTGTATACATTCTTTCATATTTTCCTTCTTTTACTCAACATTGTACATTTTAAGGCTTATCCATGTTGATGTGGGTAGCTGTGGTTTTGAAATTTCCATTGCTGTATAGTATTCCATTGCATGAATATACCAATTTATTCATCCATTATACCAGGGAGGGCCATCTGGGTTATTGCCCTTTCTTTTTTGTGATCACTGCTTTCTCAGAAGCTGCTGGGCTCTCTGTCAGCAGTGGTTATGCCCAAAAAATAATTGAAGTTCTGACAGAGAGTTTCTAGATTGTCATGAAGAAAAGTGTTATCGACCACTTTCCAAGTAAGACAGCAAATATGACAAAAGGGTTCATGGTGGTTCAGACACTGGGAGAAGCCCGAGTCTCCATACTGGCCACTCTTGAATTTTAACTTGCTGCAATTTTATTATCATTAGAGAAATAATTATTGCATTTAAGTTAACAAATTGTCAAATAATAACCTAAACCTTTATTGTTTGTGGCATATTTTAATTCTGCAGACTTAACCAGCCAAATTCTTCATTGTTGTGTACCTTCTCTAGAATAGTTTTCTCTCTTTTTAAATAAATGTTTATTTATTTATTTTGAGAGAGAGAAAACGCGCGAGTAGGGGAGGGGCAGAGAGAGAGGGAGAGACAGAATCCCAAGCAGGCTCCACACTATCAGCGCAGAGCCCCATGCAGGGCTCAGTCTCACAAACTGTGAGATCATCACCTGAGCCAAAATCAAGAGTCAGACGCTTAACCAACTGAGCCACCCAGGTGCCCTAGAAAAGTTTTCTCTTATGATGATACAGTGAGTAGGTGACAGCAATAAATGTCTTCATGTTATTTCAGGGTGAGGCTTCAAAGTGAGAATGAACTAAAAGTGGAAAGAACTTTAATATATGCGTTCATTTATGCTAGCGTTGACAAAGACTAATGCTTAGCATCAGTGTGGCATCTGTCATAATAATAATGATAATTGCTAATGATTATAACAACCACAGCAACAACATGCTGTCACCCAGATATAAAATGATGCCGTGAATCCAAAGTCAGTAGACTATGTTTTTTGAGCTTTATCCCCCTGAGGTTTGGGGATACACATGTGCTCATCCATTCTTACTCTCTTAACTGACCTCCGTTAAAGTCTAACCTTAGGCAAGGTGCCTCGATCACATTCATCCTGACTCTGACTTCAAGCTGGAGACATTTCCCCTGGGCCTACCTGATATGAGATACACTGGAAGGAAAGGATAGAGCAAGGATCCTTAGCTGCCAGTTTATTTTGGCATGTGCAGTGAAAATAGTCATAAAATGTGTCTTAATTAAATACCATAAAGCAATTGGAAAAAAACCAACCTCCTAAAATGTGTTTCCCTGTTGGGAAAAGTCTTTGGTCAAGAATTTCACCTCAAGGTTAGACACATATGTCTACTGCCTGCTTGATATCTTCACTTGGATATATTATCGCTAACTCCAACCTCAATATGTCCCCAAACTAGAATGACCAAGAGTCTGGTTTGCCAGGTATAGCCTCAGTTTATGTTGTTGTCCCAATAGCACCCTTCACGCCTCCTTCTATTTTCAAATGTATGTCTGTCTGGATGATAAATGATGTGGTCATCCTAGCAAAAACAACTCATGTTCTTCCTTCTCCAACTTCCTCCCATGTCTCCACCTGACTACTCCACTATTCTACTGATGTTCCCTTTCTCAGTTATAGGCACGATCATTCTTCCTGTGGTTCAAAGTGGAGTACAAGAATGACCCTCTCTCACCAAGTCTTGTGAAACCTCCTCCAAACGAGTACTTCTCCATTTTCCCTCCACTGTACTTGCCCATATGTCATCATCTCTTGCCTGGGCTATTCCATGAAGCTTTCTCACTGGCCCTCCTACCTTTAGTCTTGCTTCTCTACAACTTGATTTCCACCCTTTGAACCATAAGTGGGATCACGTCACACTTTGTGTAAATCTCTGCAATGACTTCTCACTGGCCTTGGATGAAGTCCATGGCTCACAGGGCTCACCATAGCTAAACCCCTGGCTGCTCCTTTTGGCATTCCACATATTACCCTTTACCCTCCAGGCATTCAGGACCTCAGCTCCATGCCCACTGTCCCTCTGGTCCCTGCATATACACTTTTGGTCTGTGATGCTCCTTCTCTTCACCTGGTTGTTGCTTCCTCCAAGAAGCCTTCTCTGGCCCTTCTAAACTAGATTCATTCCAGGTATAGCCTACATCTTTCCTAGTGGAGCACTTACCACAATTTATTCTAATTGCTTTCTTTTAGACTCTGAGGGGCTCTGAGTGGCTCAGAACTATGTTCATCCTGCTCATCATTGCATCCCCGGCGCCTGGCTCAGTGCACACAGCACATTGTTGTGCTCAGAAGAGTCCTCAGTGAAATGACTAACATTCAAATCCAGGGTGTCTGAGCCACAGGAGAATGAACTTCCTCTGTGCTGTTTGGGTCAGACTCTTCTTCTCTTACCTTTCATAGTGAGCTCCTTAAGCTATTGATTTGGTACTATGTATATGCATATGTATACGTATATGTGTGTGTATGTATAAGCGTATGTACATGTGTATAAAATAGGACTTGTGTGTTATAGGACATAAGATTATTTATAGGAAATACTATTTATCAGTAACCCAAAATTAAAAGCAATATATTTTAAGAAGAATTGTATCAAGAACTAGAGAACACAGTTGACCTTGGATCAAGGACTTTGGGATATTTCCTAATAGAAAACCTGTCCTTGTGTCTAAGCTCAGCCCCTCAAAGGCAGATGCGGATGGTTTCTCTGGTACCCACGGCAACATTCACTTGTCTGCTCTCCTAAGTGGAAATTGGAAAGAACTCACATTTTGTTCACTCTTTTCAGCACACGCCTTAAGAAAAGAATCTGAAGGCATATGTACCTCTCCTGCCTGTCTATGGAAACTGACATTTAGGAAAAAGATGTTAAAAGATTTATAAACTTCTGGAGAGCCCTAGGCTGGGGGACCTGCACTTTACTTTTTATTTTTTAATCCCCCCCCCCACAGCTTTGTTGAGACATAACTGACATATAACACCGTGCAAGTTTAAGGTGTACAGTGTGCTGATTTGATACACTTATATATTGCAAAATGATTGCCACCTTAGGTTAGTTAACTTCTCTGTCACATCACCTAACTATCATTTCTTTTCTGTGGTGAGAATATTTAAGATCTACTCTCTTGACAAAATTTAAGTATGCAAGTATTTCAAGTATAACACAGTATTATTGACTATGACCACCAAGCTGTACGTTGTATCCCCAGAACTTATTTGTCATATAGCTGGGAATTTGTCCCCTCTGATCAACACCTCTCATTCTCCCACCCCCAGCCTCTGGCAACTGCCATTCTACTCTGTTTCTATGAGTTCACCTTTTTTAGATTCCACATATAAATGATATTTTCATCTTTCTCCAAGACCTACATTTTATTTTTTTAAATTAAATTAAATTAAATTAAATTTATTTTTTAATTTACATCCAAGTTAGTTAGCATATAGCGCAACGACTTCAGGAGTACATTCCTTGATGCCCCTTACCCATTTAGCCCATCCCCCACTCCCACAACTCCTCCAGCAACCCTCTGTTTGTTCTTCCTATTTAAGAGTCTCTTATGTTTTGTCTCCCTGTTTTTATATTATTTTTGCTTCCCTTCCCCGTGCTCATCTGTTCAGTGTCATAAAATCCTCATATGAGTGAAGTCATATGGTAGATGTCTTTCTCCGAGTGACCGACTTTGCTTAGCATAATACCCTCTAGTTCCATCGACATAGTTGCAAATGGCAAGATTTCATTCTTGTGTATTTATGTGTGTGTGCGTATGTGTGTGTGTGCGTGTGTGTGTGTGTGTGTGTGTGTATATTCTGCTCACACCCGTTTTTAAGACTCGCTGGCCTTAAGGTATCTAATAAATATTGCCTTCCTGTGTGTGTAATCGCTACAAGTTGGTTAAATCAGCCATTAGAAGAACAAAAAGAGTATTTATCTCTCCATACCCAGACTTCTGTTACCCAGAACTTTAGCCTTGAATTTCTGTCTTCTCCAGCTCTTCTGCTCTAGTTCTAGAGAATTTTACCATGTTGTGGAAAGAGTACAGGCTTTGGAGTCATTTAGGCCACAAAATACTTATTATGAGCACCTATTATGCACCAGTCACCATTCCAGGGTCCTAAGTAGGGCAGTCACAGAGACATAGGTTCAAATCTCAGCTCTGCCATTTCCTAGCTGGATGATCTTGGGCCATTCAGCCACTTGTGAGGGGGGAGGCATTTTCAAAAATGGGAATAACGTTGCTTCCATGCTGGAAGCAGGGGTTGGTGGGATCAATTGGAATAATGAATACAAAGTAGGCATCTGACCATGTTTCGAATATCCAGCAGTGCTTGATAAATGGTACCATTTACCATAACCTGGGAACTCTGGTTCCTGCAGGAGAAGGGCAGAGTTTGCTATCTTATGCTCCTAATCTCTGTCCGAGAAAGAATGTGGCTGACGGGGGAGAAGAGTAGTCAGAGAGAGCACTTAAATCACAGACGCAGCCCTTGTGTGCACATATCATATCACTTTTTCCCTCTTCTACTTGGATGGAGGCTAGTGCTGGTGAATGAGGCAGAGTTCCAGACTACCTGACCACAAATAAATACATCTGGTGAATGAACAAGGGGACCAGGAACTGGGTGGGATTTCCTCTCAAGGGTATCTATCCATTAGTGATCAAATACCAGTGCCCGCCAATGTGTTCAGCGAGAACGGACATTCAGAAGATTCAGTCATGAGCCTGCTTTATACTCTTTGGGTGGGATGGGAGTGGGGGTGGGGGAAGTACAAAGATAGAAAAGATAAACATCTTGCTGAGATTGTTTACAACCTTTTGTTTCACAAAGAGGTGCCAGGCTCAGTGGATTCATGCTCTTTTTTTCCCCTGCTTTTTCTCCTGCTTCTCCGCCTTCTTCCTCCGTGTCCTCACCAACATCATCATGCTTATCTTCAGCAGCAGCAGTAGTGAGAGGAACACCATTACCTTTCACTGAGAACTTGTTCTGGAATAAGCATTGGGCTAAATAAGTCCTTCACATAAGTTTGAGAAGCCTGTGTCTCCCTTGCCAATTAGGCAGTTTTGTAGAAGGTTTTGAGGTGGAAATAAAAATTTAGGAATTGAGATCTGTATCTATTTTCTAGGGCTGCCATAACAAAGTAGCACTGACTGAGTGGCTTAAGGTCTCAGAGTTCTGGAGGTTAAAAGTCTGGGATCAAGGTGTTTGGCAGGGCTGTTTCCTTCAGAGGGTCATGAGGAAGGATGTGTCCCAAGATTCTTTCCTCTGGAGGCGTGCTGGCCATCTCTGGTGTTCCTCGGCTTGTAGAAGCATTACCCCAATCTCTGCCGTTGCCTTTATATGGCCTTCTCCCTGTATGTCTGTCATGTGTCCAAATTTCCCTTTTTTTAAAAAAAATTTTTTTTCAACGTTTATTTATTTTTGGGACAGAGAGAGACAGAGCATGAACGGGGGAGGGGCAGAGAGAGAGGGAGACACAGAATCGGAAACAGGCTCCGGGCTCTGAGCCATCAGCCCAGAGCCCGACGCGGGGCTCGAACTCACGGACCGCGAGATCGTGACCTGGCTGAAGTCGGACGCTTAACCGACTGCGCCACCCAGGCGCCCCAAATTTCCCTTTTTATAAGGACACAGTCATATTGGATTAGGAGCTAATCTGTGACTGTATTTTAACCTTATTACCTTTGTAAAGACTGTACTTTTGGCCTGGGTGGCTCAGTTGGTTAAGCATCCAACTTCAGCTCAGATCATGATCTCACGGTTTGTGAGTTCGAGCCCCAAATCGGGCTGTGCGCTGACAGCTCAGAGCCTGGAGTCTGCTTTGGATTCTGTGTCTCCCTCTCTCTCTCTGTCTCTGCCCCTCTACCAGTTGTGCATGCTCTCGCTCTCTCTCTCAAAAAAAAAAAAAAAAAACAACCAAAAAAACATGGTCACATTCTAAGGTAGTGGGGGTTAGGACTCCAACATGTCTTTTTTGGCAGGGGGAGGCACAGTTCACCTTACAACGTGGTCACAGAAATAAATGAAGTTATTAGGAAGAACATGTAGAAGGAGGAGAGGACTGAGAAAAGAAGAGAACTTGCAAAGGTAGTGTTTAATGCCTGAGAGGCATTGCGAATAAAATGAGGCCACTGGCTTTGGCAGTTATGAGGGTGAGGGCAGATAGTTGATCTCGGGCATGGCCTGTGGCACGAGTTTGTTGGGGACCCTTTCCTCATTCCAGGGCCCAGCCCTACAGGGGCTTGATAAATATTTCGTTTGCAACTGAATGAAGGCAAAAGGACCCCTTGCAGTAACAAATAATTAATTTTCATTCTAGAAGGTGTCAAGAGAATTTAATCATTTTGGTTTGTTTTTCATGTTGAAAACGTTCAGATGATGTTCAGATCAAAGAACACAACAAACATCCAAAAAAGATCCTAAGTGTCCTTTGTTTTAGTACACACTCCAGAGAAAATGTTCACAGTCACGGAGAGAACACGAACCAGTACTGGAAAGAAATTTTTGATACTTTGGTTCCCTGAATCCAGAATGTGTATTTTTATCAAAAACAACTTTGGGATCCACGCAATCCCTTTATTGGTTTAGGAAAAACTTCAGAGGGTCAAGAGCCGTTTGTGGATTCTTGGGATAAACGGTGGCAGAAAAATTCCCCCTAACAGAATGGGTTTTATCTTGAATTAATAATTCAAAAGATGTAACGCGTCTCTAAACAGTCTATGAACAGCTCGGTCCTGTACAAACTGAAACTTAAGTATGAGTGAATCATTATGCTTTGTAACATATGGCAGCAGAACTCTAGGAAAAAATGCTGAGTGAAACAAATGCCTAGCATCTTCAAGCGGTCATTAACCAAATGACCCAAAAATTAATTAGAAAAAAAGTAGTGAGCTTCCCCCGATTCTGTTCTTTGAAAGCTTGCATGTAGCAACAGCCACATGACAGGCAGAACAGTTTCTTCACCCAGGATTGCTGTAATTCCTGCACTGTCGGTCTCATGCTTTATAACATAGCCTACGGCAGCTTTAATTACCCGCAAATGCGCCACCTGTTGCCTCTTTAGTGCTTAATCATGAAATGTATTCTGCATGGGTTACTCTGCAAGGAGATTCAAATACTATACGGAGTTGCAGAATCAGAGTCCACAGAAGAATAAAGCTCAGCTTTCAGATGAAGCAATGTGGCTAGGGTCAACCTGGTCCCTGAAGGGTAAGGGATCCAGTCTAAAAAGTACGGATTGGGCAAAGAGGAGACGGGTGTGAGCAGAAAGGGGACTTGGGGTCAGTCTCAAAGGCCCCATAGGGAAGAGGAAATATGACTCTCCATGGAAGATTATGGTTCTCTGAAGAACTGAGAGACCCTGGACCCCGACTGAAGGAAAGGCTTTGTGCTTTGGTGGCCGGAAGCTTTTGTGCAGCACTGTGAATCCTCCTTCAGTGCAACTGCGGTCTGGGCTCTGTGAGGCTGCAGCTGTGCATCCTGAAAAGCGTTACAGAGAAGAAGAGGAAGGAACTGAAGACAGAAAGAAGGCTGGGGTGAGGCCACGTAGGTCAACTCTGGCCATTCATGGTGACTCCAGATAGGAGAGGACTTCAAAGACAGTAACAGGTGACAACTGTTCACATCATCACAGGCAGTCATGACTTGCCATTAGCGAGAATGACATTTTGAGTCATCTCTCTCTCTCAAGGAGGAGTTATTTTGGGGTCCAAAATGCTTCCTGACCCTTCAGCTATGCGCTTATGTGTGGAGCTGACTTCTGTACAGAAGAACTTAAGGGATGCCCGAAGAGACCCAGATATTATCAGTGAAAAATATCACTAAAAGTCCTTTCCTTTGGGTTAAAACCTGAGGAGTCTGTGAAAATTGGCTCAGATGCTTTCTCTGAACCTAAAAATGAGGTGAGGGCCCAGTTGAAAGAGGAGAGTGCATGGGAGACTCTTAAATACAGAGAACTGAGGGTTTGCTGGAAGCATGTTGGGTGGGAGGTGGGCTAAATGCATGATGAGCATTAAGGAGGGCACTTGTTGGGATGAGCACTGGGTGTTATAGGCAAGTGATGAATCACTAAATTCTACTCCTGAAATCATTATTTCACTATATGTTAACTAACTTTATTTAAATTTTAAATAAAATTTAAAAATTAGAAAAAAAAAGAGAGGAGTGAAAGGGAAGCAGAGAATACTAGGCCTTTCCCAGGGTATATAAGCTTCCACTGTTCAAGATTGGCATTGCATTCTGGATGGGAGGAGCAAGCAGATCTGGGAGAGATTCTGAAAGACATGTGGGAAGAAAAAGGAAGGCATTAGTTGTTTATTGCTGCATAACAACAGTACCACAAACGTAGTGGCTTAATATAGGACACATTTATTATCTAATTTCTGTGTCCTCTGTCTCAGTATCTCTCACAAAACTGCAATCAAAGTGTTGGCAAGAGCTGAAGTCTCATCTGAAAGCCTGCCTGGGGAAGGATACACTTCCAAACTCATGTGGTTGTCAGAATACAGTGCTTTGAGGGCTATAGGACTGAAGGCTTCAGTTCTAATCCAGAAGCCATCTTCAGTTTTGTCCCATGTGGGCCTCTTCAATATGGCCGCTTGCTTCATCAAAGCATCAAAGCCACAAAGGTCATAGAGAGAGTCTACTAGTAAGATGGAAGTCATAGTCTTACACCTTAATCGTGGTAGTGACATTCCATCACCATTTCCATAGTCTATTGATTAGGAACAAGGCATAGGTCCCATCAACACTTAAGGAGAAGGCATTATAAAAGGGCAGAAAGCCAAAAGTTGGGGATCAGTGGGGGAGGCTACCACAGGGAAGAAAGAGGCGTGGCAGACATCTGTCCCCCACCCCCCCCCCCGCCGTGCTATCTATTTGTCTTTCCTCTGGTAATTATATCTAGATTTTCCCTTGAGGGAAAGCTCTTTCCATCATTTCTGAAGTAATTCTGGCACTCTCAGCTCTAGAGGTGGACACACTCAAGGGTGGTCAATCAGAATGTCACATGCTGAGTGATAGTGACTGGCTGAGACTTGGAAATATGATCCAACAAGAGTCAGTGAAAAACAACAAAACTTTCTTGGGAATCCTGGAAAGATATGCCCTATTTTTCAGAATGATTTAAAGCTAGAGAGGACCTAGGGCCTGGAGTTGCTACTCCATCTGCTATGACATAAAGCCCAAGACTGAAGGTACCATAGCAGAAGGAGAACAAGAGATGAGTCCTGACATTATTGCTGAATGCGCCTTGAGTCAGCTGTGCCTTAAGTGAGTTATTTCTAGTGTGCTAAATCCAGTTTGGGTCAAGTTTTCTGTGATTTGTAACTGAAAAGGTCCTGACTGACACAGAGGAAGAAACTAACATTCATTTGACACATTTTAGGGTCATTAACATTCCATAGCTTATTTGAAGGGAACTTTTGAATCCTCCACAGTTTTATTTGGAGTTGGCAAATTATTTTACCTATAGTGATAAATACTTCACCTAAAATATGTAGCCCATAGTGAATTGTCTTAATGTGAGGTATATAAGATTACAGATAAAGGAGGTGGTATCACTTTACTTTCATCTTTGTCTCTGTGGTATTTTTAGCAGCCTAGAGAATCATAAGAGTTCCGAGATGCTTATATATCCTGCACAGGAATTTGTAGTGTCTTCTAGAGCAGATTTATGGCTAATATACCTTATTATTTTTTTAAAAAAATTTTTTTTCAACGTTTTTATTTTTATTTTTGGGACAGAGAGAGACAGAGCATGAACGGGGGAGGGGCAGAGAGAGAGGGAGACACAGAATCGGAAACAGGCTCCAGGCTCTGAGCCATCAGCCCAGAGCCCGACGCGGGGCTCGAACTCACGGACCGCGAGATCGTGACCTGGCTGAAGTCGGACGCTTAACCGACTGCGCCACCCAGGCGCCCCGCTAATATACCTTATTAAAAAAATCAAAGTATGTTATAGCACAATGTCTTTAGTGACATGCACTGTGGCCTTTGTAGATCTAAAATTCTCTTATTCCCTTCTCTATCCTTACTCCAGAAATGAAGGGATATGTGTTAACATTTCATTTTACCTCAACTTGCACCAGAGTTTTTGGTTGGCTTTGCCTGGACTCTAGGTTAGTTTGGACATTGAATTTGTGACTAGGCTGTGTGGGGTGTGGGGCCACACACCAACTGGTGGGGTGTTAGAGCCATTAGTAAGAGACAAACACACCTATAGTTTGATAAGCCACCGATATCCCACTAATGTTCAGGTTGCTGTTATTTTTATGGTGCAGTTAATTGGTACCTAAAATCCAGTCTCTGAATACAGTTCACTTTTTTTCAGAGACAAGATGGGGATAATGGTTATACTGTACCCATTAAAGGAACTGCAATA